TTTTAGATCTGACTGGTTCATCTATTCAAAGCATTCCAGATTGCATTAGAAGTTTGATCCACCTATGACTACTTGATCTTAATAATGCAAACATATCTTACCTTTTAGAGTCCATGGGTTCCCTCATGAATCTTTAGATAATAAACCTGCAAAGGTGCAAAGCTCTGAACAGCCTTCCTTTGGCGCTCACTCAGTTGTCCAATTTTAAGGCGCCTAGTTCTGACTGTATACCAATAAATCAGGTTCCAGAAGGAATATGCAGATTAGAATTCCTCGCTGGATTAGAAGGATTTCCTTTTAGTGGTGGAAGTGACAATGGAAAAACTCAAGACGGGTGGAAGTTGGAAGGGTTGGAAGTTGTCTCAGTCTCTCACAGCTAAGGCAGCTTGTGATTACCAAATTGGAAAGAGCAGCTACTTGTACTATAGACTGAGCAGCTACTTGTACTATAGACTCGTTGTTAACAGGCAAAAAATAATCTCACATATGAATCACATTCAGAAGATGCTGACAATATTTCAGCAGTTAATCTCTCCACACAACCTGGAATATGTAGTTATTAATGGATTCTTTGGCCGGACGTATCTACATGGCTTGGAAACACCCACGTGTCTTCAGTTGTATACTTGAAACTCATAGACTGCAGTTCATGTGGGCATCTCCCACCAATTGGTCAGCTGCCCAACTTGAGATATCTGGAAATTGATGGAGTAACAGGGCTTACCAAGACTAGGACCGAGTTTGTGGGCTGCGGGGTGCTGGTGCTACTCCCATGTCCAAGGATGCAGTTCTTGCTTTTCCCAAGCTCAAAATGTTGAGGATACTGATATGTCTCAAAGGTATCTATAATTTTTAATTGCTCCATGCTATATTATCTACTATTTTGAACTATATTGGGTTTTATTTTCCACTTTTATATTATTTTTGGGACTAACCTATTAACCGGAGGCCCAGCCCAGAATTATTGTGTTTTGCCTATTTCAGTGTTTCGGATAAACGGAATATCAAACGGAATAAAATCTTCGGGAACGTGATTTTCTCACCGAACGTGATCCAGGAGACTTGTACCCTACTCCAAGAAACAAAAGAGGCGGTCACGAGGGTGGGGGCGCGCCCCCTGCCTCGTGGGCCCCTCGTTGCTCCTCCGGCGTACTTCTTCCTCCTATATATACAAACGTGCCCCCAAACGATCAGAACAGGAGCCAAAAACCTAATTCCACCGCCGCAACTTTCTGTATCCACGAGATCCCATCTTGGGGCCTGTTTCGGAGCTCCACCGGAAGAGGGCCGTCATCACGGAGGACTTTTACATCATCATAGCCTCTCTGATGAAGTGTGAGTAGTTTACCTCAGGTCTTCGGGTCCATAATTAGTAGCTAGATGGCTTCTTCTCTCTCTTTGAATCTCAATACAAAGTTCTCCTCCTCTCTCGTGGAGATCTATTCGATGTAATCTTCTTTTTGCGGTGTGTTTGTTGAGACCGATGAATTGTGGGTTTATGATCAAGTCTATCTATAAATAATATTTGAATCTTCTCTGAATTCTTTTATGTATGATTGATATCTTTGCAAGTCTCTTCGAATTATCCGTTTGGTTTGGCCAACTAGATTGGTAGTTCTTGCCATGGGAGAAGTGCTTAGCTTTGGGTTCGATCTTGCGGTGTCCTTACCCAGTGACAGAAGGGGCAGCAAGGCACGTATTGTATCGTTGCCATCGAGGATAACAAGATGGGGTTTATTTCATGTTGCATGAATTTATCTCTCTACATCATGTCATCTTGCTTAAGGCGTTACTCTGTTTTTAACTTAATACTCTAGATGCATGCTGGATAGCGGTCGATGAGTGGAGTAATAGTAGTAGATGCAGATTCGTTTCGATCTATTTGTCACGGACGTGATGCCTATATACATGATCATGCCTAGATATTCTCATAACTATACTCAATTCTGTCAATTGCTCAACAGTAATTTGTTCACCCGCCGTAGAATACTTATGCTCTTGAGAGAAGCCACTAATGAAACCTATGGCCCCCGGGTCTATTCTCATCATATCAATCTCCATTACTTTAATCTTGCTTTGCCTTTTACTTTGCCTTTACTTTTTTACTTTGCATCTTTATATCAAAAATATCAAAAATATTATATCTATCAGATCTCACTCTCGTAAGTGACCGTGAAAGGCTTGACAACCCCTAATCGCGTTGGTTGCGAGTAGCTATCGCTTTGTGCAGGTACGAGGGACTTGAGCGTGGGCTTCTACTGGATTGATACCTTGGTTCTCAAAAACTGAGGGAAATACTTACGCTACTCTGCTGCATCATCCCTTCCTCTTCGGGGAAAACCAACGCAAGCTCAAGACGTAGCAGATACATGATATGCCTAACTGGGAGGAATGATCCATTGTTGAAGAAGATTCTGCAACATCAGCATCCGTGGAAGGGAAAGAGGTAGCCCTTACCCCAAGGATCCAAATGTTGTCATTACTCAAAGGATGCCCCAAGCTAAGAGCTCTCCCACGACAGCTTGGACAGGAGGCAACCAGCTTGGAATCGTTCCATTTAGGGAAAAGTATATTTTTCGTCCCTTAATTCTTTCGGAAGTATAGAGATGCTCCCTCAACTCCAAAACCAGCAAAACTTAGTCCCTCAATTTTTAAAACCGGGCAAAGTTAGTCCCTGTCTCAGTCAAACCTGGTTTATCTATGACGTGGCATGGTCAAAGCGGTACTGGACAGTCCATGTAAAGCACAGCCGGCAACGCTGGAGCCAGGTACGACACGGGGTGAGGCGCCCCGTGCTTTTCCTGCTGGCTGCACCCTCCTTGGCACTCCATCCAGTGGTGGAGGAGACGGCGATTTGTTGCATGACGGTGACGGCGGCGCTCCAGCATGTGGTGAGACGGAGGCGCGTTGTCGCACGTCGACAACTTCCAGCGCAGGCGCGACAATGGAGGTCGTGGGAGCACCTATGGCAGCAGCCCCATGGAGGATCCTCGCTTCCTCGGCCCGCGGAGACCTGAGGTGCCGTTGCATGGCGCTGGTCTACTCTGCAGCAGACGCACGAGCCAGCGACCGCAACAATGGCCGTCTGCTGTAGATGGGCTTGTATCCCAAACCTCATATCCACCCACAAGCATGACCCCCGCTCCTCGACGTTCATGCAATCATGCTTGGGCTGCTATCAGGAGCATCTTCAACATCTGGAGCTTGTGCCAATGTACCACGCATGCGCACCCTCATGTACACGTCGCTGGGGCGCCGGGGAGCTGTGGTGCGGCGAGGCGCACAGGGCAGCCCAAAATGGGGCGTGGCTTGTCAGTCGATGGTGATAATCGGTCGCGGCAAGGTGCAGAAAGCACGACTGTGTACATGCAGACATTGCATGGCATGTGCTCGATGCAATGTCCACACTTTAGATAAAAATGTCCACACTTTAGATAGATGAAAGGAAAGAGAAATATTGCCACATGGACCAAAGACCGGTCAAACATGTATGATGTGTCTGGTTTTAGTCAAAATGGTGTCCAAATCAGTAGGAAACCACTTGAAAGCGGTACGGGGGATTAAACTTATCCGGGTTTAAAAGTTGAGGGACTAAGTTTTGCTGGTTTTAAAGTTGAGGGACCATATCTGTAATTTCAAAAAAGTTGAGGGACGAAAAATATACCTTTCCCTTCCATTTAAGAGGAGCAGGCTGCTTGAAGATGTTGAAGGACCTCCCATTCATCTCTCAGATGCTTGTAATTGCTGGATGTGACGTCCTGGAGAAGGTCTCAAACCTTCTTAATCTGAGAGAGATCCATGTATCTGGTTCTCCAAACTAAAACTCAAATTTAATGTTTGTTGAGGGGTTTGTATTTGCAGCAGCTCGGGCATCAAATCCAAGAGCAGCAAAGGACGAGTGTACATGTGTCCTAGAGAGTGGGAATACACCTAATTAAGATGGCAACGGAGACACAAAGTACGAACACTTGTTAGACATTTAATTTCTTTTTTGGTCTGCGTTCTGCATTGTTCGATCGTGCATCTAGTCCTCTGCTCCGCCTATGCGCACTGTCTCATTGCATAACTACCTGTCATGGTGGCATCACGGTAGATGCCATGAGATGGCTAAAAGTGGAGGGCAGCGTGACTGCATGAGGACGCAGTGGGTTCCGGAGGCGAGATTGGCACGCGCGAGAGCGAGACTCAAGAAGTACCTAGGTTCGGGGCCCTCCAGGGGAGGTAACACCCCCAATCTTGCTGGAAATGGTATATTAGGCACAAGGGTTATAACGGTGCTCCTGGAGCTGTACGGTGGAGGAGGAAGAAGGATCTAGCTCTCAATCTTGCCTCTCGTGCGTATGAATGGGCGTGTGCGTGTTCTACTGAGGCTCCACGGAGAGAAGGCCAGACTCTATGCATGGAAGGCTCTCGGGGGGTCTTATAGGCCGCCCCCGGGTACAAGTGTAAAACTACATAGGAGCAGGGCCTGGTGTCAGCGTCTGGAGCTGGCAATGGGGCCCACTGGCTGCCAAGGCCCGCCAACTGCACGACGCTGTTGCTTGTCACCTCCCGTGTCATGGAGTGGTTGGCGTCGTGGGACTACAATGGTGAGCTACGTTGACGTCAGGCACTCCGGTCAGCGAACACGGCTGCACTGTAGCCATGCGCTCCCATCGTGGGAGAATGGTCTTGTCGTACGATCGGATGGGATGGCCGCTGATCCGCAGCCAGTCGGCCCGGCCATGGCGCTGTGCCGACACGGCCTGTGCCAGGGAGCCAGATTGAGGGGCGCCAGCCGCCCCGATGTTTGAAAAAAATGCTTTAGGCTCTGGTGCCTACCCGGGGGTCATCCCCCCGACATTACCATTTTCATGGCCCTCTAAGGTTGACATTAAATTTGTGTACTTTCCATTACTAGCATAAGCATGTAGACTGTCTTTGATAAATTTGGCAGGGAACTTACAGGAAAATTATGTAAACAAGGGCCAAGAGTGAGACCTTACAGTTACACATCAGAATTATATGGCCGCTCCATCAAGTAGACTGGACGTAAAATCATTGTTTGCCAGAACTATTTTGTCTGCCTTGACAACATCACTTAGTTGAAGGGGTGCAAAGCTCCGATCAGGACCATAGAAATGAGGAAAGTAGTTACAGCCATCAGCTGCCTCATAAATTAAGCCATCTGCAATCTAAGATACACAAGAACAATAAATTGTACAAGTAAATGTCTTGGCATCAATAGGTAGCAATTTGTGCATGTGTCCTAAAACCCATATAGATAAATACACTAAAACATACTGCCTCTGTAACTTAATGTAAGATGTTTTATACAGTTCATTGAACTGCAAAAACATCTTATATTAAGTTACAGACAGAGTAGTAAATCTAGAAAAATAAAGGATGTTTAAAGATCAATACCTTGGCAGCGTCAACTTGTAACAAGTATAGATCATTTTGCCCATGGAAAAAATTCTTTAGTGTCACCTACACCAAGTCAAGGATAAAATAAACTTGGTTTTTGATAAGGACTAACATACATACAGATACAAAAAAAAATATGAATGAATGCATATGATTGATATTTTCTACAAAAAATAAGATCCCAGATCAAGTCGGCATTGAAATAACAGGGGTGATATAAGATATAGTCTCCTGGTTCCACTGAAGCTTTTTTTTAGAACGAAGGCTCGCAAAGAGCCCGGCTTTGAATTAACAAAGCCATCAACCGGCCAGGAATTACAGCAGACAACCCAACTTACAACGGTCAGAACGATACAACGAGGAACACTGGAAAGACTACTCACTACAACCTCCACAAGCCACAAAAGATTACAGCTAGTAAAGGCCGAGCACTCCACACTAGGATCATATGTAGCAGAAACGGAGCAGCGCATCAGGACATAGCCGACCTTCGAGGATGGACCGTACTCCAGCAATACCTAGAGAAGAAAGGAACCGACATCTTCCTTCTCAATCACCAAAGAGGGACCCTTCCCCCTCGCCATGGCTCGTAGGCGCCGCACCATCGGAATTTCGAGAAGCTCACCCTAGAGCTGGAAGAATGTCGCCCTCGCCTCGCAAGGTGGACATGGGATGACCACATCGATTTGGGATATACCTCGCCGGCTGCTCCGCCACAGTTCATGCCCAACTAGTTGGAGACAAGCTTCAGGAATCGGACGACGCAGAGGAGGTAGCGCAATCCCTCACCTGCCTAACCTCCCGACCGATCCCCGCACCCTTGAAGACGCCTCCAGCAAGGTCACGACGCGCAAGGCGCCCCCGCCGCCAAATCCGCCGGGGATAAAGGTTTTCACCCGGGCAGGGGGATCGGGGTGGAGAGTAGGGGACCTCGGCTGCGCCCCCATGGAGGAAAGCAGCGCCCTTGGGCGATGCCGCCGCCGGGCCGGCCGGACCGGCCAAGGTTTCCCCCGGTTCCCTGGCTGACCACCAACATGCACCAACGCCAGAGCCAGACGAAGCTAGCCCACCACGGAGGTGAGAGAGAAGCAGCAGGGGATAGGGATTTCACACCTCCAGATCTGACGAAGCAGAACACGCCGTGGCCGAATTCCACCAGCCACCCGCCACCCGCACGACCGGGCACGCTGGCCAGCACCCCCTGCGAACGCCGCCCACCGCCCGACGACGTCGCCTCTCCGGCAAGGGCCGCCGCCCAAGGAACCACAGGCCTCCAAGAGGGGGAGGAGCGCCGAGATCCCCGCCGCCACCTTCACCGGCGTCCGCGCGGGCTTCCCGGCGGCCGTCTCTGGTAGCGGCGAGGGGAAGGAAGGGGGTGGAGGGGGGGTGGCGGCGGCGGCGGAACCCTAGTCGCTCCCGAGTCGCCCAAGGGGACGACGCGGGGGCCGGGGGGGGGAGGGGGGATCTGAGATCCGACACGGGAAGTTCATTGTCAAGAGCTCTTACCACTTCCCTACTTCATAACATGATGAATCATACAAGGGTGGGGGTGTCGAGCACAAATCCAGAAGGTGAGCGATCTATCTGGAGTTGTATGTAGCGAGCTAAAGTTCTTCTAGAGATGAGGATTACCGCTTGGAAGGCAGCATCGGGTGCCCTTTCAACGAACCAACGTAAGGTGAACTGCCATTTATCAAAACAGGGATGTTGTCCGGTTTGTGGTCTGGAAAGTGAAGGTGCCTTTCACGCGCTAGTATCTTGAGCCAGGTGAGAAGCGTGTGGGAGAGGATGCGGTCCATATGGCCACTGCAACCTAATGATTTGCTTGTTGACAATGGTAAAGAATGGTTATGGCATGTGCTATCGAGTTGTACTGCTTAGATCGGGGATATGGTCAGACTGCTTATAACAAGGATTTACAGTTATATACTGACGTAGTTCATGGCAAGCTTATTCCACCTGTTGAGACTATGGCGGAGTTTTGGTTACTTACTACAAGTCACTAAATCGGCCAGGAACTATAGTGTGGAGGAGATCATCAACGGGAAAATGGAAGTGGGAGAGGAGAACCCATGTCAGGTTATGAAACATGCTTTGCCATCCCCTTCTTGCCCTCCGTTGCCAGGAAATTGGACAGCCTTGTCAAGACAAGTCCTTTTCAGTTCAGGAAAGCAAATGGGTGCTGGGAAGATCCTACGTCGGGAGGATAGCTCGGTAATTTTTGCTGCATACCGAGTCATTTTTAACTGTAACAATGCACTCGAGACGGAGATACATGCCCTGATGCAAGCCATGGCCATGGCTATTCAGCACACTGATGAACCAATGATGGTTCAATCAAATTCCTCAAAGGCGCTCTGAATTATATCAGCGATAATTTGTATTGTTCAGCATATGTGCATTTGGCAACGGAGAAAGACTCTTATGGAGGTTAGGGAGTTTATTCCATGGAAGATTACAGTATTGAACAAAAAATAGGGTAGCAAATCGTATGGAAAATTTATAGCCGTACCGAGTCTTGCATTGTGGTATGGATGAGGAGATGTCCTCCATGTTGTGAGAATCTAATGCCTTTCAATTGTAACCATGTTACTTTTGAATAAAGCTCCCATTTTCTGCGCAATTTTCTTTGCTGCATTATGGCAGGGATGATTGGCACAGCCGATTTCATGAACTGTGTAAGGGAATCTAATGATGTAGCTCATATGTTAGCAAAATTTGCCCATGATAATGGAATTTCTTGTAGTTGGGTCAATGAACGCCAGATTTCTGTGTTAGCTCTCTTAAGGCAACTCTAACCGATCCCTTATCCGGCCGTAAGGGTGTAATGGCTTTTTTATCCTCTAAATCGCACCTAGCCGATCCCTTATAACTGTTAGTTGAGTAAAAAAAAATCCCCACTCTCTCTTCCTCTTCCCGCCTCCTCTTCTCTCCCCCTCCCCCACCCCCACCACCGCGCCCCGCCGCTAACGTGACCCACACCCCGATCGGCTGCCCTCCCTCCTCACGATGGCCGGACGCGGTGGCTGCCGGTCCCCTCTGCCGATCCGCAGCGTGGATCCATGACGCAACACCCACGGGTCATCATCCGCGGCTACTTCCTCGAGCCGCCGCGGCCCCATGCGGTTTGAGAACTTCCCGGACCTCCTTCCGCTGTGGCCGCCGAGTAGGACCTATTTGGGCGTTCGGCAGCGTTCGTGCAAGACGTGGGTGGCCGAAATCACCGACCGCGAGACCCACAAGTGGATATGGGTCGGCTCCATTCACACTGCCAAGCTCGCGTCCATGGAATACAACCAGTGGCAGGTCTGGTTGCACGGCCGCAACGTGAGGCTTAATTTTCCCATTGGCACGCGGCCGGTCGACCTCGATCCGCCGAAGCCGGGGGTTGGTGTCCACTCGGATGGCGCGGGAGGACCGGGAGGCGAGGGAGCGCCTCAAGGCCGAGGCCTACATGGACGAGCTCCGTCGGCAGTACATGGAGCTAGTGGAGGCGGAGCGGGCGATCTTCGCCATCAATGATGGCAAAGATATTGTCATCTCCGACGACGAGGGTGGCAACGCGGGCGGCGAGGTGGGCGGCAACGATGAGATCGACGTCAAGGAGTGGTGGAGCGTCTTCCCTGACGACGACGACGACGGCACCGGCCCGGACCCGGCTCTCGTCGACGGTCACCTCACCCGGAAGGATTGGGTCGACCTCCACTTCGACGGCAAGTAGTTTAAGTTTAAATATATGTTTATTGTTCAGTTGCAAGAACTTTATGTGTTGGACTTATGTTTAAATGCATCATCGTTCGGTTCAAAATTGATCGAATTTGTGCAAATTTAATTTTACCGCACTAACTTTAGGGGATCGGCTAGGTGCGGTCAAATTTTAGTGGAGTATATATACTCCACTAAGAGTTTTACTCCGCTAACTTATAATAAGGGATCCGTTAGAGTCGCCGTTAGGAAAGATGCAGGAGTAGTATTTTTCCCAATCGAATAAGGGAAATGTTTACACCCGATGCGCCGGCCGAACTTTGGGCCGGACGCGCGCGGGGCGTTCAATCGTGGGGGCATCATGTGGCCAGAAGGGAGCGCGACCCCACCTTATCCCTTTGTTTTTTTACGTTGACTTTGGCTACTCGACGTCCTCCCATCCTCTTGCTCCCCGTGTGCTTCCCCGTCAACCGTCGTTATCCCCGCCGTTCCCCTGCCAGACTAGACGCCGGCGAGCTGCTACCACACATGGCCAGAGTGCGAACTGGAGTGCTTGCTGGCGAGCTGCTACCACACATGGTCGGAGTACGAAGTGGAGATGCTCACCG